TAAACTTAGTTCTTCTGTTTATGTGTGATTCTTGATTAAACTTAGTTCTTCTGTTTGTGTGAGATTCTTGATTAAACTTAGTTCTTCTGTTTGTGTGAGATTCTTGATTAAACTTAGTTCTTCTGCTTGTGTGAGATTCTTGATTAAACTTAGTTCTTCTGTTTGTGTAAGATTCTTAATTAAACTTAGATCTTCTGTTTTTGTGAGATTCTTGATTAAAATTAGATCTTCTGTTTATGTGAGATTCTTGATTAAACTTAGTTCTTCTGTTTGCGTGAGATTCTTGATTAAACATAGTTCTTCTGTTACTGTGTTATTCTTGATTAAACTTAGATCTTCTGTTTATGAGAGATTCTTGATTAAACTTAGTTCTTCTGTTTATGTGAGATTCTTGATTAAACTTAGTTCTTCTGTTTGCGTGAGATTCTTAAACTTAAAAGGATGAATTCAATAACTATTGATTTTCAGCATCAAACCGTGAGTATTTGCATAAACATTTCATTTACGTCATTTTGTAATGACGATGTGAGCTTCAGATGAAAATAAACGAAGTCCATAATACTTATTCAGTGAGAACAAAATCGAGCAAGAAAAGAAACATAGTGTATAAAATAAAACACGTCCACGAAAATTTGGTATTCATTGTTAGAATGGTATCAAATTGTATAGACAATAGTCCAAGAAAATCCAGTGATATCTACAAGTGTATGAGCTTTCTATCTATTCATCATTAACTACTCAATTCTCCAAGTAACCTAACTTTATCTGCCTTTTAATTGTCTGTGTCACGAACCCGAGTCTAGGTTTCTATTCTGTACGGTCACACGAGAGAGAGCTGTTAAATAAACATACTTTTTTTTGTTGTTGAGCCAAAGGAAAAAGCTAAAATTTGATTTAAGTTTGTGACATAAAAATTATTACGAGTTTGCTTGAAACTAGTAAAGGTAAAGCCGGTTGATGTAGTATTACTAGATATGTTCTAACAAGAAAATCAAATCCGGTTGATGTAGTATTACTAGATATGTTCCAACAAGAAAATAAAATCCGGTTGATGTAGTATTACTACATATGTTCTAACAAGAAAATAAAATCCGGTTGATGTAGTATTACTAGATATGTTCTAACAAGAAAATAAAATCCGGTTGATGTAGTATTACTAGATATGTTCTAACAAGAAAATAAAATCCGGTTGATGTAGTATTACTAGATATGTTCTAACAAGAAAATCAAATCCGGTTGATGTGGTATTACTAGATATGTTCTAACAAGAAAATAAAATCCGGTTGGTGTAGTATTACTAGATATATTCTAACAAGAAAATCAAATCCGGTTGATGTAGTATTACTAGATATGTTCTAACAAGAAAATAAAATCCGGTTGATGTAGTATTACTAGATATGTTCTAACAAGAAAATAAAAGCCGGTTGATGTAGTATTACTAGATATGTTCTAACAAGAAAATATGCTTAAATGAAATATGAAGTACTAGGCTTTTTTTTTTGTATTTCTAATTCATTGAATATTGATTACTGCTTTAATTTAAAAGAAAAATGTCATAACGACAGATTAAGTTGCTACTGGTAAAGATAATTTAATAGATTTGATAATGAAATAAAATAAACAATTATATTTATCCTTGTTAAAATAAAATCAATTATCACGTAATAACTTCTAAGTAATTGAAAGCTGAATAAAACGGTTGTTTTCTGTCAGGTTTCTTCAAAAAATTAAGTCTCTGATTATAATATTAACTAGTATACACGTTGTTATTGATTTAACGAAATGTAATTCAAAGTTAATAAGCTCTCACGTTAAGCCTAAATCTTTCAAGAAAGGGACGTAATTCGTGACAGCTAGAATTTTTGCTCGAAAATAATATTGAATGAAAATAAATCATGTAAACTGTTAAGAAATTATGATTAAATAACTTAATTTTAAAATTAGGATATAAATCGATAAGCGTGTTTTAATATTCTATTTATAAATGATTGATCTTCATTGTTAAAGCGATGGTAAGTTAGTGTTTGAATTCTATCAATAAGTTTGCTAAAATAAACATTAAGGAAATGCTTCAAAAAGACGCATAATAATTTTTAATTACTATTCAAAGCGGTCGTTGATGGTTGGTTTTCATTGGTAGACAAACAATTAATTGACCCATTATACCTGGACAATCAATAGGGCAATATATCAAAAACGGTCGTTACTGTTACGTTTTCTTTATATGAACAGCCAATTAAGAACCTCGAATTACCTATGATAGTATATCACCCTATGAAATACAGAAAAAAAAAACACTAAATAAGGTAGTTCTATGTAATTTTTATGCACAACGCACCCCAAAAACAACGCTTTTTTCAACTCTCATGTAAAATTCTCTGAGGTTAACCACAGTCTGACATTAAAAACAACAATGAAAACAGCACTGGAATGACCTAGTTTTGCGATCCGTTATATAATGATATATATACAACAAGCTTGAATATATGTAAGTTTTATTTTCTCTGCACCTTTCAATTACTATGTCTTACGTGTCTTGTTTTTTTTTTGTTTTTTTTTCTTAAACCAGCAAGACGGAGGACATTAGTGATTGATTCTTATAAAACTTTGTCTATTTTGTCGGGCCACATTAACTTTTAGGCGTTTGTACAATGCAGACTTCTGGCCCTTTCTGGAGAGTATCCGATAATAACAACCGAAACATGTCCAGTGCAGGGAACGTCCGTTTTATGAGATGTGTCATCTGGATTCTAGTAGCCGTCACTGTGGTGAGTAAAGCGGACAAATGTCAACTTAGACCCGTTGTCCATATGCTACAAATTCCAGAGTGTGGTCGTAAAGCGATCCCTTCATTTGCATGTCAGGGAACGTGCTCTTCTTATGTGCAGGTGAGCTGAAAGAAGTTTAAATATATATATATACAAGATCATTCACTGTTATTTATGTTTTACAACAACAATAAGAGGTAATATTTACATATGTTTGCTATGCCCGATAGTTCGAATGTTGTATTGTTAACTAAACAATACGGTTATTTGAAAGTACAATAGCCTTTATAAACAATAATATTTGTATATGAGTTTCTTAGTATATTGTTCTTTTAGGGTTAATTGAAAGTGCAGTAGCACTTAGTTCTCGGTGTATTTTTTCATATTCTATGCGTGATATTCTGTCATCGTACTACAGTGTAATAAATGTACCAAAACTAGAAACTGTAAAATAGGTGAACTTTTCACAATCAGTTTGTTTTCTGTAGACGTTTCAGTTAAGGATTTTACTGATGAAGGATTAGTGAGAAGGTTATCAAAACTCAAAATTGATTCACCGAAGAAAAATCTACACGTGATTTTGAAGCTTCCAAAGCAGGTTATACAGAGCGGTTTAACATATTCACCTTTGATTTGTAAGACTCAGAATTTTCGCGCAAAGATACAATAGGGATATCTACGTTAGCCGTCCCTAATTTTGAACCAACAGACTAGAGAGGAGGCAGCTAGTTAACACCACCCACCGACGATTCTTGTTTCAAATGGTGGGATTTGACCGTCACTCTTACGACTGCATAGTGTAAAATGCGTTTTTTACAGCAAAAGACCTCGAACGTTAAACCCACGGATTTACAGTCTGATTACATTAATTATTAGGGCACGCCTACCCCACGCATAAACCTATAATTTATCTTATAAAGTTATATATTCACAGTTAATATATACGAAATCATTTTATACGAAGTTGTATGCGCATAAAACACTCCTTAAAGGAATACTGAATATATCAGTGATAAAGAGAACCCTACAAGTAGGCTTTTAAACCCTGAAAATATACTTAAAAAAACAAAAACTTATTAGGTTAGATTCAGAGCCACTTTTATTATTTTGTTGAGATAAGACAGAAACAAAATAGGTATAGAAATGTTAATTACACCAGAGAGTTTAATTCGGCTTTAAAAGTCCAGTTGTTCTCTATCTATTCGTATAAAAACCAAATAAGATAAAATAAACTATTCAAATTTCTTCATCAACTTAAGGTATGAAATGGCCACAGTTAAAAAAAAACAACAGTCCCGCGTTAACTTTTACGTGTTTTCTCGAATTTTATGATTATTATAGAAGATAATCACTTCCTGTCATTAATTATTTTAAATCTGTAATACGTTTTTAGAGACGCAAAATGTTTCTAGTTCAGAGAGCATGATAACAGCAGTATTTATTTGTACAGAAATATTGTTTACAGTAGAAGCTTCCTATACTCTAACATTTTTTTATTTATTTTTTCTCGATGGCTGATTGCTTGGGGTCAAATATATCAAATTTTCTGTTTTATTCAGTATGTGAGAAAGAATACTTATTTGGAAATTTTTTAAATTTTTGGTTAGTATTGAAAAAATATTGAAAAGATTAAGATTTTAAAATTCACCATTAATCCTTCCCCCCTCAAAATGAAGCCAAGTAGTCATCCACATTCAACGGTAAGTTTACGGGCTTAGAACTCTAAAATCCTGGGTATACCTAGTATAAACTGACGACGTGATTGTATCTCGTAATATTGAATATGTCATAACGTTTGATCAGGAGCTAACGTGAATATAATAGTTAGTATCTCACATCAATAAAAAGTGAACATATTAATAATATTGTTCCATTTTGCTTAAAGATTAGGTATGGCTTTTTGTAAGCTTCATTTTTAATCATTTCCCAGGGCATACTATTACAATAAAATCCACAAAGGAGATTGGTTTAGATATTTTTATAGAGTCGAGAAAGGTCAATGGAGTCTCGAAAAATAGTACAAAACAGTTAACATAAAAATTGGAGACTATCTCACTGTATACTGTGGAATTAATTTTTACGTGAAGTAATAGATACTGCCTGCCTTTGACGTAAAAACGTAGACCATTTTCACATTAAATTGTATGACCGACATAAATTTTCAGTCAAAATGCTACAAATATAATATTCAGCGATAGATGGCAGCACGTGATATGGACGTTTGTAGGAATCTTGTCGCGAAAAATGGACAAAGGATAGCGGAATTCACATGTTACTTTAAATTCTAATGAAACATTTTAAAATCCTTATTATGTTTCACTGTGGAGTGGTTAAAAACGAATAAAATCAAACAATGTTTATTTAATATCTACGAGGTGTCACTTTGTAACAAAGTCCCGGCAGTGTTTATGAAATATCATTTTGAAGCGAAATCTCAACAATATTCGTCATCAGGTGATATATTATTAAATCGTTGTATTCTTTAACTGTTGTTTTCAGTTTTAGTTGCAAACATCCTGGAAGTATAATGCGACTGTTTTTTTATTATCCATATACTGGAGAAAGGAGTAACAATGAGGTTATACAGTTTCTAATTTTTACTTTCAGGTATCTGGGTCCAAATTTTGGCAAATTGAACGTTCTTGCATGTGTTGCCAAGAGATGGGAGAGCGGGAAGCTATTGTAAACATTTTCTGCCAACATTCAACAAACCTTCGTCTGCGTAAGGTCATCACTCGTGCTCCCGCGGACTGCATGTGTCGTCCCTGTACTGCAGTGGACGAAGAGTCCATACATCCGCAAGAAGTCGCTGAAAGGCAAACTAAAGAATTTGCGTAAAATACAATAATGGATAACACTATCTACTAGTTAAGATATTTACCTAAATACTCTCTATGTTTCGATATATTTAAATGTATTATGTTATATTGTAAGAAATAATCATGACAGTTAAGCTATTTGGCTGAAATGGAATTTAAGGAATGTATACTAATTTTTTCTATGATAGTGAGGGATCTTCAAAAACATGTTTTTGAAAGTTATTCGGAGTGTAGTTTGCTGGAGCTTATTTCTTGAATCAAGCATATTATAAATACAAGTATTTGTCCGAACGACTGAATAAAATTGTAACTTACATTTATTTAATGTGTGTAAAAACAATTATCTCTTGTTTATTTGATAAAAAATGATGTTAAAGGCACATTTATATTACTTCCATTCTCTCAAACAAACACCCGAAAAGACAAAAAGAGTAACATTTCACTGAAAAGGAGTGAAAATAAAAATTCAGCCGTGTAAGCAGATTAATTTATTGAATTTGATAAATGCACACAGACTGTTGGCTTTGACAGATGTACACAGACTGTTGGTTTGGACAGGTATACAGAGACTGTTGGTTTTGACTGGTATACACAGACTGTTGGGTTTAACAGATGTGCACGGACTGTTGGACTTGACAGGTATACACGAACTGTTGGGTTTGACAGATGTGCACGGACTGTTGGACTTGACAGGTATACACAAGCTGTTGGATTTGACAGGTGTACACAAACTGTTGGTTTGGACAGGTATACAGAGACTTTTGGTTTTGACTGGTATACACAGACTGTTGGGTTTGATAGATGTACACGGACTGTTGGACTTGACAGGTATACGCAGACTGTTGGGTTTGACAGATGTACACAAACTTTTGAGTTTGTGGTTATTTCACTAATTTCGTATCATTATTCGTTGTTTCAGGACTATACTTTTATTATCTGTCAGGAGATTTATTAGGTCTGTGTTTCGGTAGTACAATAAATATTGCAATAATAGGGTCACGATACAATATGTATCTAATTATTGTGTCCCTATAGGGAAAGTTGTATTTGCTTGATGTCTGTAAAAGACTGAAAGATCATGAGTTTTTATGTTGTTGTTATTTTTCAGGTATTAGTCTTATCCCTTGATAACTAACTAGCCCTATCACTTCAATAAGAATATACCAAACGTCATATCGCAATAATCTCCATCTAAGCTTATTAAGTGAGACAATAGATGGCGCTAAATGGCTTCAGTGCACAATTAAAATTCATGTTATTTTAATAAAAACTACCGTGCCCAATTTCACAGTTGTATATGTACAGTTAAAGGGTACATATTTTTATGTTTTTAATTTTGCGTGAGAACATCCTTTTTGTTGTGAATAAAGACATTTTAAGCGATTTCTCATTCGTTTTCTTTTGAAATACAACTAGGGACACAGTATCGTGATACTTGTTGTATCGTGAAGTTTCGTTTAAAAGAAAGGATGACTATGTTATATGTTCAATGTAGTCAACTGTTTATTTTCCTCCAAGTTTTGTTTGTTTGCTTATAGGATTTCGGGAAAAAGCTACACAAAGAAAAGGGTTTTATGCTCTAGCCGTCCCTAATTTTGAAGCGATAAACTATAGGGTATTCAGCTAGTCAGCAGCACCCACCGCCAACTTTGGGGTATTCTAATCAGACCGAGAGCGCCAAAATGCACTCACGATTATTGCTATTTTTAGCAGTAAAGGGAGTAAAGTAATTTTCACTAAAACTGATTATATTAGACGGAAAAATGACAACTCCAGTAAAACTGGTAAATTACGACTAATTCAGTTTCTTTAAGTTCTAAGATACATTAGTTTGATTCAGTTTTCTAATGGGCATCATTAAACAGACCACATTCACCTTGTTAATTGGATAAAAAACGCTCATGAAAAACGTACTGCTTCCACCAGAGGGAGGCACAGATCATATTAGATTAGAGGGCGTAATAATTCGATTTTTGTTTGTTTGAAGTTAACCACAAAGCTACACAATGGGCTATCTGTGCTCTGCCCCCCACGGGTATCGAAAGCCGAATTCTAGCGTTGTAAGTCCGCAGACATACTGCTGTGCCACTGTGGGGCTAATACGCCCTTTTAAGTCGAATTGTGATTTAAAATAAGTAAAAATTGTCGTAAAGAAATACTTTCGATCACCAAATTTCGACACAAATCGAATATTACTCGTCACTACAACACTATCTTGAGAAACTACAGAATAAATTTCTCAGCACATTCCCCTCTCAAGGGGACTGCGGGTCTTGAATATTCAATGAACACTTCCAGCTATTGAACTTAGGAATGTAATTAATTGAAAAAGAAAACAAAAGAAAGTAATTATTTAAACTCAAACACAAGAAGGGCCTTGTGATAAAACACGAGTCTATTCACCAAGACAACTCATTTCCGCATATTGTGAATTATCATATAAAATACAAGGATTTTAAAGTCTATATCATTTGTTGATTTTACTCCACATTGAAGGCCATGTTTTGAAAATTGCATATATTAGTAGTTATTTTCCATTATTAAGATACTACAACATTTAATTCGACTATCAGAAAGTTTTAGTAATTTCTTATTGGTAGAGCTAGAATTTTGAGTGGGCCTAATAAAATACTAGAAGAACCTTTTCTACTGAAACTAGTGTAAAAATATGGCTTGGACTACATAAATAAAAAAAATAAGTTGAGAAACAGTTTTTCTTCATATTTCCTCTCCTCTTTGAGAAAGTTAGTGTTTTAATCAAATGGAACTTTACTATTGCTTAAATGAGTTGTTGGTGCGTTATAAGAATGACAGCCAATCCCTTAGCGTGGATGGTGGGAGCTACTGACTGGCTGCCTTCTCTCTGGTTAGTAGTTCAAAATTACGAACGGACTCAGTAGCTTTGCTATAAATACAAACTGAACTTATCCAATGTTTTAAAGCTTATTAGGATAACTACTAAATCTTTCATTCAGCGTTCCTGTGGATTTTAGAAGAACAGGTTTAAAATATAAAATAGACAGATGAAAGATTTATGAATATTCCTATATGGCTAAAACGTAATTGAGATAACTTTTTTCTAACAGAATAGATAACATTATGTATTTTACAGGAATAATTAAATAGATTTCCAAGCATCAAAATAATATTTTTACTGAATCTCCAACAATGTTCTGATGTCAACAGTACTCAAACTATTTAGTGTTCTGTCACGCTGCTAAGCCTAGACACTTTGGTTTTCTATGGTTCACTTATGATCTAATAAGGATTTCTTTAGTATATACAGTTTCTTGGTTAGAGGCTACTGAAGAATCTTCATTCCTTTCAGATACGACTGGTTCTGTTGTTAATGCCTAAGTAATACTATTTTAATATGAGTGCTTATTTAAGTTGTCAGGAAGCTGGGGACTTTCAAATACTTTCTATGTACAAAACAAATTATATTTGAAGTCTTCAAACCCTAGGAATCCTGTCTTTTGAGTCTAAGATATTGATTACCTCAGACACTTGGTTTTTCCCAGTTACTAAAATGACATCATTAAATCGTTAATTTGTAAAGTATATCTTGATGTTATGGATGAACGTCATGACTTAACCCTATTTTATTATTAATGCAGATGAATAATGTAATACTGAGTTTTCGAAACTTCCTGCCATCAGCCATCAGAATTTTTTGATGACTCTCAAGAACAAAACAATATAGTTATATTGGATAAACGCAGATTGGTGCCCCATTCCCCCCAAAAAGGCGTTAGCAACTAGTGCTTTCATTTACTTTTATTATACTAGTTGTCCGAAAATTATGCTAACAAAAATATTTATTTTTCTTTATTGTAGTTCTCGGATAAAATGTATAATCACAGGTTTTGTCTGTATTTCTCCAAGAACAACTTAATCCATACATAAGAAACATAGACTTGTTGGTATACTTTCAGTTTTATTAAATTATTTTGTTTATATAGTGCCTTGCAAAAATATTCACCCCTACCAATAATGTCACATTTTGAGGAAATACAAATAATGTAAACAATTTTTAATGAACTTATTTTGATTTCAAACTCTAATGATCAAACTTAACACTGTTATGTGTGAAGAAAGTTGAATGCCAGCAAAACCTGCAAAGGAAATATATAAATTAATATTTGCTGATATGCATAAGTATTCAGCCTCCTAAATCAGTACTTGGTGGAGGCACCTTTGGCAGCAATTACTGATGTGAGTCTTTTTTGGATAGGTCTCTACCAGCTTTGCACAATGGGATGGTGTAATTTTTGTCCATTCTTCCTGGCAAAATTGCTCCAATTCTGACAAGTTCGTTGATGGGATGCTATCTTCAAGTTATGCTATTCATTTTCCATTGGATTCACGTCAGGACTTTGATTGGGCCACTCCAGAACATTCACTTTCTTCTTTGGAAATCACTCCAGCTTTGGCTTTGCGCTTCGGGTCATTATCCCATTGAAATGTAAATTTTCGACTCAATTTTAGATTCTTGGTTGGCTCAAACAGGTTTTTCCTCTAGGATTCTCCTGTACTTTGCACCACTCATCTTCCCCTCAATCCTGACAAGCTTCCCATTCCTTGCTGATGAGAAACATCCCCTTAACATGATGCTACCACCACCATGCTTGACAGTTGGGATGGTGTTAACTGGCGGTTTGCTGTGTTGGGCTTGCGCCAGACGTAACGCTTTGAATTTAGACCAAAAGACTCAATTTTTGTCTCGTCTGACCACAAAACCTTCGCCACATGTCTGCAGTATCATTTGCATGCTTTATCGCAAATTCCCTACGAGATTTAAAATTATTCTTTTTCAGTAATGGCTTCTTTCTAGCCAATCGCCCATACAGGCCAGCTTTATGTAGGGACCGGGATATTGTCGATGTATGAACACTGACTCCCATCTCAGACGTGGAACTTTGCAAACCTTTCAAAGTCAATGTTCGATTCACAGTGGCATTCCTAACCAGTTTCCTGCTTGCCTGGCTGCTTAGTTTGGAAGGACGGCCCGATCTGGGTAGTGACTGGGTGGTATGAAGCACATTCTACTCCTTAATGATGGACTTCACTGTACTCAAAGGGATAATTAGCGACTTTGAAATTTTCTTGTAATCTTCTCCTGATATGTGCTTCTCTACCACTTCATTCCTGACTTGTTTGGAAAGCTCCCTGGTCTTCATGATTGGGTTGTCGTATCACTATATGAGTTGTGTCTCGAACAAATGCATTTACTCTAAAGTCAAGTTAAACCTCTTTGATTACACACAAACAGACATAGACCATTACACTAATTTGGTGACCTTTCCAACTAATCCTTTGCACCTG